TACAGCACTACTGCAGAGCAGAGAAGTAAAAATGACCATACTACAAATGGGATGGAGTTTATACTCTGGAACTGTCCTAACATCAGAACCCACCTGAAAATGCATCTTACCATTTCATTATCTGGAGACAGAACAAACAAGCCTCAAAAAAGGGAAGATGTTGCAGAAGGGGCCTGTCTCCAGTGCTTTCACACAGCATTAGATCTCGTAGAGGCATACAACATTTTTACAAATGAAAAAATATGTCCCCATTAAAAACACTGTTTCCTTAATTGTTTATTACCTGCCCAACTTTTGCAGCATCTTTTATTCTAAAAAAAATAAAAAAATTGGTAAAGCCAGAAGTGGCAGCTTTAAAAAGAAACAGAATTTGTGAATGATTTAATAATGGCTTTGCCTGCTCAGCCTGAATTTGTAACTGGTTTATAGAGCTGTATTAGAAAAAACAGACTTGTTGGCTAAAAATGAAAGAGCTTTATAAGGAGACCTGATTTCTCCACATTAAAGGCATCTGTAGATGAGTGGATTCAGGCGTCTCTCTGTAGCCAGCATTCTGTTTCATCAGGGCAACTGCCAGCCCACCAATGCTGTGTCTCCTGAGTTGGAAGGGAGAACAACCTAGAAGACATTTCATTGTTCAGTGTTTCATTGGTTTCCCCTCACAGAATCAGGGACTAGGGCTGCTTCATGACAGTAAAGAAAATAAAGCCCCTTTTTACACTGCAGCAGACACATTCTTGGCTATAAAGTTTGATGGGCTATTCTCTTTGCTTTCATAAGGCTGAAAACTTTGTCCCTTCCTTCACCTTATAAAACAAAGAAAACAACCTGCCAAAGGTCCATTGCTCCAGTATCTCTTCCTATCAGTAATTGGATTAGTCAAGAGATTTATCTCAAATTGACCATTTGAAGATAAGGGATAATGTTTTGTAGTATTTGAGCTGAGACTGTTTCAGAGACAAGTTCTTTGAAGCCTGGAATAACCCAGTCAGCTCAAGGAGTTCCAGTACAACTCTGGTCTCAGATGTATGGATGACCCTGTGATGACTATTTTCCTTACTGTAGTAGCAGAATTGTAAGCTTAAAAACATAAACTAAATACAAGATAGTATATCCTAAGTATGTTGACTTACTTTCCTTCTGATGGCTTTTTTGAAATTATAATATTTCTTTAAAATTTTGGCTTAATTAGGAGAGTCCAATGATAGCTCATATAGCCACATATACATGGAAAAGAAGGTGAGCAGGATTAGAAGTCACCTGAATAATGAAAAGCTATAAAAAAACCAGTAAGAGACTACTACTAGCGTGTCCTATGCAATAAAGCGAAACAAAAAAGAAGGCTAAGTACATCTGAGCAGTTTACAGACACTGTAAATAGATGACTTGCATCAATCTACCAGGTGGTTAACCTTTGACGTGGAAGATTGCTTCCTCATTCAAACGTCAAGATATGCTTTTATGAGTTAATAAGAAAGGCCACAACAAATAAGAATCAAGTTCTGTGATTTCAATGGGAAGGATAAAAAAGTCCAGTCAAGGCAGCTTGTTTCTGAACCTACTGCAAAAAAATGTCAAAAAGTGTAAAAGGTTCAGTTTCTGACAGTTCATTGCAGTTTTTTTAGAAACAGTCAGCACTGCTCAGCATGATGCAGTTATGTTTCTAATTGATTTCTCATTATAATACATAATTTTTAGCTGCAACATTTTAACTTAAGTTTTTACAGTTATTATTTCCATCTATCCAGCTACCTAGAAATTAATGAATCGCGTTTAGAGAAAATAATACTTTTAAAAAATTCTTAGTCACGCGTTGTTTTCAGACACCATAACACTCTGACAGTCTGTTTTTATACTACAGTGTGAAACTGCAACGTGAAATTTGCAAAAACTACTTTTTTTCCCCTCTGGAAGAATCTGGTTACCCCATTAGTGGAGTAAATTTGTCAAATCTGAAGTAATTCAGCAAACTATGAGGTAGGCTACATTTTGCAAAGTCAGCATGGAATTTTAACTCCCCTCTCTGCTCCTTCACGTATACCCTGATACTATTGGAAAGATTAAAGGTTTGCTCTAACTGGTTACCAAACAAAAAAAAAAAAAGTGCAGATTTAGAACCATAACTGCTTCCATTTTTAGTCTATGCAAGTATCTTAAACATCAGTTATTCCATTCCCCCTCCAAAGGGCCTAACTTTAGCATAAATTCTAAAAATATAAAGTGAAACCAAGGACATACCTAATCATAGTAATAGATACCCACATCCTTGTATCAGAAACACACTGTGAATCAACCAATCCATCCTGGGACATCCAAACCCACTAAATACATTCTTCAAGGGTAATAGATATATTCTTCTGAATACTGTAGACACTGTCACAGAAGGTGATAAAGAAATCTACTGTATAAATAAACAAATAAAAATAATCCTTACCTTTGTCTGATGTTACTGTGCAAGGGCTGGTCATTCTGCAAATGGATTGGTGAGGCTGCCCGCTTTGGTGAAGAAAGGGACTCTTTGGGGGTTTGTTTCGGTGATATTGGCACTTCGTTATAGGAAGAAGATTCTCGTCCAGAAAGTAAAAGGGAGACAGAACTATCCAAGGTTGCTGAAGGGTCAGAAGCCTGTCTAATGGCACTATCATCATCTGCTTTTCTAACACTCTTTTCATTTGAGAGGTCTTTTTTATCTGGAACACCATCCTTTTCATGGCTGGAATACTCTTTGGATTCAGAAATCACACCCTTTGACTCCTTCGTCTCAGTCCTGGACAAATACAGGGAGCCACAGTCCTTGTTTTCACCACCGAGCCTTTCACTTTTCACTCCCTTTCTTTCCACGCTGTCAGGATCTTTCCTTGCCCGCGTATATCTGGATGAGTAGTCAGAATCCAAATCAGAATCAAGAGATAATCCATATTTTTCTGCCAGCTGGCGCCGCCTCTCTGCCTTGTACCTAGCTATTCTTTCTGCTTTTGACTCTAGTTCCTGGACATCCATGTTTCCTGTACTATACAAAGGTTCTGTATTACTTCCCGTGGTTTCTGCTCGGTATCTAGATGGTCTGGGTTGTTTTTCTACAGAAGAATCTGAAGTTTCCTCCTCTTCATTTGATCTTCCTGTCAACAGTACAACATAGATGAGCAATCCATCCCAAAACTCTGAGTACCCTACCCACCACTCACATCGAATGAACTAAAAGCTTCACATTTTCTTACAAAGTGTACTAGTGATTGCATAGACACATTACATTTTTGTACTTGTCTCCAAAAGCACACACAAATGATTAAGAAATACATATTAGTTAGAATTCTTTAAGAGTCTCATAGCAAATTATTTTTTAAAACAATATGAACAATCAACCTCTTTCAAATAAGACAACTGGAGAATTAAAAGGCAAGTTAAAAAAACTGACCACGGCTCTTCTATAAAACTCTTCTCCACGTACTTCACAAATGATAGGGTAGCAAACATGAAGTAATGCAGCAATGCAAGATTGACTGATATATACTACTTACCTAAGTGGGGACTGTACGGATCAGTTGCACGCATGTATCTTGGTGTATCTTCCTCTAGTAAACGGTGTGTGACTGATCCTGGACAGTTTTGTAGAAGCATAGGTTGTGTATCATTTTCAATTCCCTCTAACCGTCTAGCTATTCTCTCTTTTCTGAAAAAGATGTGAAATCAAGCATCTCTGAGGATTTGAGGGGAGAGTTTCTAAGAGAAGGTAACAAAACAAGCTGTGTGTTTTGTTTTACAGGCTAAAGACTTTTTTTTTTTTTTTTTTTTTTTACCTTTTCATTTCCAAAAAATCTCGGTTGTTTGGTTCAAACAGTTTTCTTAATTCTGAAACTGAGATAACAAAAGATTATACAGTTTATAAGCCACTAAGTTTCAGAAACTCACAGAAACTTTCTAAAATGCTTTAGAACGAGAAAGAACAGTCAAATAAAAGGTTTCAAATAGCTTTTGTCAGGGAACAAGCATTTTCCTAATTTTCCTAGTTTATTAAGCCTGCATTGTCAAAAGCGCATTTGGCACACAGGTGTAAATACCAAGGAATCCTCCCTCCCTCAGCTAGGCTGAGCTAGAATCTGCTATGCCATCCTGGCAGTTTTCAAGATCTACTATAAACTGGGCAAGTTGTATTTTGACTAGCTGAGGTCAAGCGTACATGCCATAGTAACCTGTTTCAAAAGCAGGTAGTATGGAATTACTGTTTACTGTCTACACAAAGTTTGGGAAATTCCTTACTTTCCTCCACTCCTTTATATTGAGCAAATCCCAAGAAGTCCAGTGACTCATGGTTGGAGTGAAAATTACCATGTACCCTCATATTCCTGCATGGTTAATCACTTTCTACCTTGTTAATTTTCCCTTGTAGTTTTAATTGGACGTACTTTCCTCCTCTCCCCCTAAACTGTCTGGTGGTGTTGTGTGGTAGTAGACAGCTGCCACAGTTCACAAAACAGCAGTGAACCAACAGGAGGCATGATAGATGAAGTAATCCCTATATAAAAACACATATGTGCAGTTATCAGTGATGTTTGCAAACCATGCTGGAGCACTGAGGGCTACATAAACAAGTGTGGTGTGACTTCTTACCACCAGGAAGAGAAACTATCCAGTCTGTCAAAGGATGCAGTGGATTGGGCAGGGGATGCTTAACAACCCCCGCATTCCCCCATATCATTGCCTTGGCAAAGATGTGGTGCTGAAAGTTGTATGTATCTATTCTGATGCAATGCACCTCTGGGGTTCTGATCCTGTTGACCCAGGGATCAAAAGTTAAAGTAAGCTAGAGTCTAAAGCCTGCTATATCAGCCCTAGACTGCCATCAGAAATGCCTGATGAGTCAGGAGCGTTTAGTAGACACTGTTCCACACTGCTGCAGAAGTAAATCTGTCGGCTTTTTTCCCCTACCAGATTTCATTGCTCTAGATACTTAGAAGATAAACATTATTGAAACACCATATTTTTAAAGGTCAGATGCACATTCTCTCCCTTTCCTCTACTTCAAGAACTTACATGCATAGCTTAAAGTTAGGGTTTCAGCTTAGTTGACACATATCCAGGAAGTTTGCTGTAGTCAATACCAGTCAGTGCTCACACCTCATAGATACAAACAGATACTATTGTCATTGGCTGTCATATCAACCTTACCTGCTGAAAACCCACTAGGACTCCAGGTAAAATGTCTTGGATCAGCATGAATGAATGTATTCTCATCATGACTACTCAGAAAAGCAAATGAATGAGGTATGAATATAGCGTCTGAAGCTACAGATGGGTGCCCACTGAGAATGTGAGATTAACTGGTGAAAGAAATCAACTGGCCCACTCTCCAAAACAACTCCTTTGGTCTGCATTTTTACAGAAAGCAGAGTCAAGCTACCCACTTCAATTTCTCAGGCCAGGTTAGCTCAGATTGTGATCACATGAAAAAAAAAAAAAAAATCTAATACATACACATTTGATGCAATTAGCAGGGCAGAGTAGCTAGGTAGGCAGCTACTTAACAGTGCTAACCCAAGGGACACCCCTTCCATGCCTAGTTTCAGCATCTGTAGCAAAGAATATTGAAGCCTACACTTGTTGACCAGGCTGGCAGTGCAAGATAGCCACTGAAAGTCAGTAAGCTGCAGGGAAAGATCACTGCAGATGGATGGGAACTGGATCTGAGCAATGCAAAATCTGCATCCTGAACCAACACCAAAGCAAAGTTGAGCCCTTACATTGTCTTTTCATATACTTTTTTCTCAATGCATGAGCAGTTCCTGCTGCTTCCCTGTCTACTCAAGAAGTGCTAGCAGTGAAACTGTATTAAACAGAGAACTTATCCATATAAAACTAGCTTTCATCTCACATTCACACCAAAGGAAATTATTTCTCATAAATACTCGGCTCTCACCTCTACCAAATGTACTTCTGTTTCAGTTTGTTCCTCTGGCTATTAGAGTTTTTCTGTTCCATCTGCTGGCTATACATACATGAAATGGTCAAAACAAAACCCATAATTGTTCTGCCACTTCAGACAGGTCAAAGGCCTCCACAGCTCACAGTTAATAAAACCACATTTGATCCAAATCACGATCATTTTTCTTCCCTAGTCGCCGATTTATAGACCCTAAAACCAACATCAGAGAACAGGTCTTTTACACAGCTTTAGTAAAGCTCTAAAGCATACCTTCATATACTAAAGTCTTCTCTTTTTTCCCCCAAAAAAAGGAAACCTGACTATAAGTCATCCTTATACAAGAAATGTGGCACATCCAAAGAACTCCCAGCAGCATTAGCTCAACACCCTCTTGCTACGTGTTAGCTGAAGTTCCAGAGATTCTACGACCACTTTGCAGTCCTAAAAAGAGCACTGGCCTCATGAAGCATCTCTCCAACACCTTCCCAAACAAGACGGGACAAAAATAGCATGGGACTATTCTATATTGCCTTACACTTTTTCCACACTTGAGATTCCAGACAGTAAATTCAGCTAGGTTGACCAACACCTGCAGAGCTTTTTTGTGAAAGCAATTTCAGCAATATTTGTCTTCCAGGGAGGCAGGGAAAAGAAGCACAAAGACGAAGAAAAAAAGAAGATAGAATGTAGGAAGTCTTCTATACTAGTGATTTCTTTTTGCTGAAATTTCACTCCCAAGGACATTGGTTGGCCCTTGCAAACTTAGGTGATCAGGTTTCTCTTTTTTAGTTTGCAATTTGAGTATGTTGGTGCCAATTTCCCATCTGTTCATGGGATGTCTTTCCATATGACCATCAGAAACTACATGATTTCAAAGATACCCGTGACAGTGCTAAGGAATAACAACACTTCTACCAAAAAGGTAGCACAAAGATCTGATCTAGCACACAAGAAAAGACAAAGAAGCTCAGAATAATTAATTTCACAGTAAAAGCTCCTTATCTAAATTACTTCATGCCAACACACCCTGTAAGCACTCATGGTCAGTACAACTAAGGGCAACAGGAAGAATAACCACAGTTGAGGAACAGCTATGAACTTCAGGCTTTAATTTTAGGATGTTGAGCAGGATGCTATGGTAGGATAACTTCTAAGGTAGACTATCAAGAGGCATATTAAATTTTGGTAACTGTAGACCTTCTGAGCAGAATTTATCTTATAATACTAGTATTTAGCAAAAGCAGTATTGTTCCATGTCTCATCCCAGAATAAAAACTAGAAAGTACATTTGGAATGCATCTTATAAAAATGTTTAAAAAACCTCCTTAAGTTAAGGGGAAAGTTTTCTTACAGAATTCAGAAATCTTTCAGAAATATTTGTTACACAATATAATTATGTTTTTGTTGAAAGTCCTCTTTGATAAGAGCAGAGGGGATACATGTAGACAAAGTTGCAGGCATGTTAACAGCAGTTTTATTTTTAAAATACAGAAGCTGTAGAAACTAAATCAAGTCTTCCAGAAGCACCTATTAGAGAGTGAGCACATATATTTGTGAAGCCTGAACAGATGTGTATGAAAAGTTTACCTGCCAGAAGCTTAATTTCTCAGGGATGGTAAATAATGATTGCAATGCAGGTATATACATCTTCATTTTGAGGAAAATTTAACACAATAGTGAAGCCTACCAGCCTCTTTTCTACCTCTTCCTCTCCTCACCTGGAAAGAAGATGGTCTACAAACCAGGCTGGAGAAGCATTTTTCTTCTGTTTATGCTAGCAGAGGCATACTAACATGTTCAATCTTAACTGCAGGCAGCAACGTGTGAGACTTCAGCTAGACTCTTTGAACCTCAGTGTAGTCTGTACCAGTTGAAGATTAAATATATTCCTCTGATTTTTCAACATGTGCAAATCCAGATGTGCAAATCTGGATCAAAGTTAGGCCCTAGATGGAACAAATAACCTGTATTTTCAGAAGGTGTTTGGCCTCATGTAGTCCCTTCAGAATGTAACCATCAGCTCCCACTGCTAACTTAATTTTTTAAGTCTGGTACACAGCAAATCTGATGCCTTTATCACAAGAATAATTTCTTAGGAAATAGAGTCATCGTGGAATAGAAACTAGTTCACTGAGAAGCAAGATACGGAGAAGGTTTCTTAAGTGAAAGCTCTCACAATTAACTCATTGGCCAGCATGATTGTAAGGCTAAGTATATTGAATAATGAGGGACTATGTATTCTTGCTGACTAGTGCACTCAGGTCTGTATTGTATAAATGCATATCACTCTATTCCATCATTGTGTCAATGAAGTATCTTTCTGAACATCTGTAATGATTATATTATAAAAGCAAGCACATCACTTCGATGTTATGCTGGCATACAGGCTCCTTTTTAAAGGAACTCTAACAAATGACATTAAAAGAGCAAGCCAGTTCCTTTATGTTGGGATTAGTGCATCCAGCCTTGTAGTTTGTCTGAAAAGGGTAAAAATACCATCAGAACACACATACAATTTTAACTAAGTTCTGAGATCAACAACGTTCCTGAGTGAAGGGAACATCTTTATGCCATTTAAACGTAGTCTGTGAGTCAAATGTCACCCTTTACCAGTCAAGAACTATTTCTAAGCGAACTGTGATTTCCTCTAGATAATTCAAGAGAATTAATTCTCAACTCTACCTCAACTATGTCAAAAAAGAAAGATGGAACTGTTGTTTTCTTCAGTTATTCAGACTAAGACAGAAGGTTTTTTTTTAAAAAAAAATATCCCCAAACCCATATATAGTACAGGTCCTTCAGCATGCAAGACTAACATTCAGTGTATAGTCAGTTGGTCATGCAAGCACGGTGGTTCTACTAACCACTGAAGGGGACTGGAAAGAGCTATGACTACAAGCCAAGTTAATACCTTTGTACAAAGAAACCTCTCTGACATTTTGAATTTCAACTCTTTCTTAAGGTATTGAAAACCAGATAAACAAAGCTGAACTTTAGGAAGCGGGGATGTAACATGGCCTTGTAGAAGAGCATTGTGGTTCATCCCCTGTTTCATTCCCTATGCATACTTCACAGGAAAAAGAAAACTCATTTACAAAACATCTGTGCAGAAGTGATTTTAACTTGCGTAGACTAAACTTCACATGCTGTTAAATTAACACTTATGTTCATTATGTGTCTCCCTTACCTACCTTTTGGAAGTACTGCTAAGAGATTAGCATCAATATCCTTTGTGCTGTTAGAAAGTTCTTCTTTATCTTCAAATGAGAACTCCTTCTGAAAACTGAAAGCAACATCTGGTTTACAGAACCTGTGGATGTTTCTGCTACAATCAAATAAAGCCAAGATGTGACCAATTGTACTGCAAGATAGTCTAACACAGATACCAAAGAAAATATTTTCCATAAGAATGAAATAAGAAGTGAACCCAAGAAACTCTCAAAGCCAAACCTAACATAATTTGAAACTTGCTTGGAACTGACTGTGACACATTTTTGCATTAAATTACTGACCAGAGACTGCCTTCAAAATACTCTACTAGAAATTACATTTGAAATAATCTATATCAAATGATTCTCCATAAATATTAAAATATATTTAATGCAGCACTGTATGTAAACTCTACCTAGAAGCCTTCTGCACAACTGCCCTAGTTACCACACTGATCTCTGGATCTTATTTGGCTTATAATACACTAATATGAGCAGCAGATCATTTAGTTTTATACCTTGTATTTTCAAAACAGCAAAAATGCCCATTTAGATGAGACAAAATATTTCTTTAAATATATTCATTAAATATACAAATTTTATCTATAAAATGTAGGTGTCATAATGGTCTAAAGTAGATATTAAATGTCTACAGGGACTTCTTGGTGGAAGTGTTCCTCCTTGTCGGTAAAAACAAAGTGAGAAATGCTGTATTGTGCCATTACGACTTCTAAACTATCCCGAACAGGCATAAGAAAACTTATACAAGTCTTGAAATTTTTGAGTAAATTGTGTATATAGATGTAATAGATACAAACCCCCCACAGTGATCCTAGACTTAATTTTGCCATGGTAGTGATGTGCCATACGATTTACTGTCATTCTGATAAGACAAACTGCGCAGCCTAACTGTTGGAAAATCCTTCCTTAGGACAGTTTTTAAATGGCTTTTTAAAGAACTGAATACCCTTTAATCAAGGGCATTTGATTAGAAAAAATAATAATAACAAAAAAAATTCTGTACTCACTATTCCAGAAGAATATTTCTCATTAAAAGAGTTTTAACATATATAACTAATATATGTTAAATAATAATAAATAACATATAATAAAATAAATAACATATATATAACATATAACTAATAACATTTTACATGAACTCCAAGAAGTATTTGCTTCTTTATTGTTTATAAATAATATTCCTTTGTAAGAAGACATTGAGGAGAGAATAAAACCCTTGAAATGACAATAAAGAAACTGGGCTGTGTCACATTCAGGCACCATGCCACCTGCAGTAAATTGTCTCCAACAACTGCACTTACAGAAATTAGCCCAGGTACTGCCAAGAAAAGCAACGTTAGCCACTATGGAAAATAGCAAATAGAAGATGAAGAGCTGCAATAAGCTGTCCATTACAGAAAACTGCCTATCCTTACGGGATTAAAACACTTTAATGGAACTAATTTTTTTTTTTTTAAAAGGAAAAAATAAAATAGCACACAGCAGCCACAAGCAAATGGGTGTGTGTGTCATCTGAGACTGGGCAGAGACTCCGACAGTTAACTGCATGTTTCTGTATGCCTAATCCCATATTGCCAGTACTCCTGATTCTTATTAGCCTCACAATATGTTATTTTTCTTACAGACACAGCTTCTGGAGAACACTGAGGTGGAGAGACTCCCGATCTCCATCTGAAAGCAGTTTCTGCTCCTTTTGGCTTAGGATGAGTTTGAAAAATGTGAATAAAATTGGCCTAGGCCAAAGTCTATTTTGTCAAACCAAATTCATTACTTAAGACTTGCCTCAAAAGTGCTGAGGGACCCAGCTCATGACTTTTGAATACCTATGCTTTATTTAGCATCATCTCCAATTGCTTCCATAATGCCTGTGACAGTGCAGCACTTTAAGTTTCCATAAACATGGGACTCTGTATAGAAAAGCATTCACTCATACAGCAAAATCCTTGTTTAAATTCACTGTGCACTAACACGCACAACTATGCCTCAGTCCCACAGGAATTTCCAAGGGTAAAGTTGTACAGAACCAGGACTGGTACTAGCCCACTGGTTCCAGAAAGACCTGTATTACTGGACTGCTTGTGGATCCTCAACAAACTTTTAAATACTGTAAACTAGTTTGGTTCACTCCTGTCTCTACTCCCAACTCCACGGAGATCCAGGGACTCTGAAGCTATGGACCTTCTAATCCCAGTCTAAATGTCTTTCAATGGGTTTCCACCCATTTGCTCTTGTACCAGTGTTGTTGGTCACTTTACTTATTTTTCTTAACAGAAGTTTTCCACATCTACTCAGCTTCCTCAAGACAGCATCTCAGTTTCACTGATTATCTGTAAAAAATGCTCTCTATCCATTCAAGTTGTAAGTAATCTTTTTTGTATATGGTGACTAGAATTGGACAGTCTTGATTCTAGACCTGTGTCTTATCAGTGTCTTATAAAAACAGGAATTTTAATAGAGAAAGCATTATTTATTATATGACTAGTCAGATGAATGCCAGGATCTACAATACATTTACCTTTTTATATCTACACTATATTGGTTGCTCAATCCCGCATGAGAAACTAATACGCCAAAGCTTTGCTTTCATCAGTTGCAAGCGACAGAAAAATTTATCAGTCCCCAATGCACAACTGTGCACTTAGTATTATTACATTACATCCCTTTTCTATTACTCCTCAAGGTCATCTGGTTCTTCCTGTATGTGAGCATCCTCCTCTGTGCCGAGGGTGGCTTCCAACCTTTGCTCACTGGCAGATTTCATTAAAATTCTTTTAATAACCACAAACTTCCTAAGCATTAACCCTTGCTGGGCTACATGGCATCACAGGTTGTCTGCTTTGTGAAAGTCCCTTCACAGTTTCCCTTATGCCCTCATTTTCCATTTCCCTCTGGACAGATTGTCAACTTTTATTTACTTGTTTATTTTTAAATTATTAACTATTTTCATATACTATTTTATCCACAATGGAGGAGTTTTTCCTCTTCAGAGGCATTTTGCTCTCTCTCACAAAGCTGCAGGTGTCTTGTTTTAAATATCTGCACAGTAGAAACACAAGATGTTTAAAACTGATGTATCAATTACACCATTTTCACTTGCAGAGAGAATTCAAAGACAGAACACTGCTCTGGAGATGATACAGTCAAGCCAAACAATTGGATATTTTTAGATACATATATAAAATTAGTTCTAAAAATGAAAGTAGGCATATTTAGGACAAGTCACAGTATTCAATAAGAACATTCATTAGGAATCTAAATTGAGTTGGAATTATATTAAAGCAATTCCAAATAGTATTAAAAAAAAAAAAATTACAGGACACTACTCATAAGGGTTTTAAAAAAATATGCTCATAAGTAATTCCTCACTAAGACTTCCCTTTTTTCTCAAAGAGATCTATCCAGATGTCTCACTGCTTTATTAGTTTCTCTGCTAAAGAAGCACTTGCAGCATTGATTTAGTAGCTTAAGCAGAGTCAGACAGTCAGACTCAGATTGCCAAGTATATCATACCTTCAAACTCCTCTATAACCCTATTCTAGGAGTATCACAACTACATCTACTCACCTTTACTTTTCTTAATTTCTCAAGTCATGCTATAAATTTAGGTGCAGGTTGCGAGCAGACGCATCAGGAGTTTCTGCACTTAACAGCTAGGTTATGCACAATCATTACTAAAATAATTCAAGGCATACATGGGTTTCTCTAAATGAAAAAAAAATTTAGAAGTTTGCAAGAATTCTTTCTTTTTAAAGTCCCTTTTAAATCTGGATACTGAAAGAGGAACCTCTCCTCCTTTGCTTGCCTGAAAAATAATCTGTGATCATGGTTCATAAAATACAATCAACAGCATGAGGTCCCACAAGTTTGTTTCACACAGGATTTGCGTGTGGTTTGGCCTCAGGTTCCCAACAAACTCATTATACTCTCCAATGTTCAGGAATTCATATGATTCCTATTAAAACACAGGCAACAATATTTCACAACCTCAGTAGTTTTTCTTTAAAAACAGTGTATAAAGTGGCATTTGACAGTCGCAGTAGTTACGCTGCTTTTGCAGCTTCCAAAGTAAGTGTGGGCTGCTTCTATACATCAGGGATTCCAGGATGAAAACTTCATCTGCTGCTGCAGCAGCAGCATACAGTTTCTAAATAGCTGTCCCACTAACCTAGTTACATGCCCAAAAGCAAGCAGAAGTTTGATCCAAATGCCACTGGTAACACTGGCCTGCGATCTGAATTGAAGCTATGTGATATACTGAGATTTTGTGACTGAAACACATGCATGAAAATTCACTTGTATACTTGCCAGCTAGATGCTTTGCATTTATTTTTCCCCTCCTTCTCTACTTCCAGGAGAATTTCCTTCCCTGGACTCTTATGGAAAAGGTTCATTCTACAGACACATCCTTTTCTCTACTACTCTCATTTCTACTTTCCCCTACCTGCCTTCCATAACACAATGCATCTTGTATACCTATCCCCTCCACCTCTCTACAGTACCCAAGAAAGAACATGTCAGGGAATCAGGTGGGCCCCAGAAGGTGTTCATTGACTGAAAAGATGTTCACAAACACGAGCCTGGGTGCCTAAGGCTGGTGGATTTCTGTGCAGCTGAGCCAACAAAGCAGCTGGTTGTTGTGGCAAGAGTCAGTTTCCAACTACCTGAACCTCCTCTCTGTGCCATCATGAGTCCAGCAAGCACGAAGGTGGACACCAAAAAGCAGTTGAGTGAGGGTGGGAAGAGAAAAGGAGTGTGATCTGCCACTTTGCTTAACTGTGAACTGTATCCCCTTACTCAGCTTGTGGAACCATGCCCTAAGACTGCAGGCATCAGGCAGCATGGCCCTGCAAGGAAGCAGCAACGTCACCTCTCCATTCCTCTCTGCAGCATCCCCTCCCATGTGCTGACAAAGCACTCTACATGGCTGTATAATTAATTCACCCACTTCAGCCACCTTCTTTTTCAGACAGATCAGTTTTCCAAGCTGGTTCATTAAAAGTCTGTACTGTGTCCATGCCATGCAAGGAAAAACGGGCATTGCAGGGGCAGGAGGCGCAGGAGGCTCAGTGCACAGTGGGACTCTTCCCTTAGCAATGCCAGCTATAAATTTTCACATTACTTAGGAGGCAGTTATGTTTTCAATACCTGTTCAGAGGATCTGCTTTATGCCAAAGGTTGGTCCTGTAAGAGGATCAATAATCATTTTCCCTGACAAAAGAATAAACATAGATTCGAGCAATGACTGCATATTATAATCGTGCAACCACTCATCTTCACTGGGCAAGAAAGACTTGACTTACCTTAACGCTCTCTTCCTTTGGAGCAATCGTGAAGGTTTAAATCTGACTGAGTTTCCTTTGTCAAAATCTGTGAAATGAAAGAAAAACACACCATAGTGAAGATGCTTTAATAAATGGGGAACTTTTAGGAAACTAGGTTACAGTCTCCAACCATAGTCCTTTTCCACTGGCAAAGACTGTACAAAGACCTTCCCTCCAGTCAAAGGAGCATAAGCTGGCATGTCTGAGATGGCAATAAACCAAAGCCTTGTCAAAATCAATACAGACAGTAAACATACCAGAAGCATCAACACTTTATGGAGCTGCCATGTTCTAATCCCAGTATTCATAGTGCAGCACTACAGCCTTGGACTATCATTTAAACTCTCTGACTCAGTTTCCCAGCTTATAAACTGGGCAGTAGACATGTTTGTGAAGCACTCTGCAAATAAGAAATGCTGGAAGCAGCAAGAGCCTTTTTGGCTGCAGCCTAGGAATACTATAAAACTGGCATATTCACTGCAGAAGCCGGAGAGGTGCAGCTGAGGATCTGTTGCAACAACAGTACTATACCATCCATGACAGAAATATTTCTGAAGGTTGTCTAGTTTGGAAGCTCCCATTTTTTTCCAAATAGCCTTAGAACATGCTTACTTTCAGAGAGGAACACGTGTTTACACCAAGAGCAAAACTGTGTCAGATGCTGCCGTATATTCAAAAAGCATGTAGTACAAAGCCACTAGTTCCCAAACCTTTGTGAACCATAACAAGCAATGGGAAATCCCCTCTCTCTCCCTCAAGATTTAACTTTTTCATTTCTGCAGTAGGGAGCACCATCAGAGGGTCTAAACAACGAACAGTGGCAAGGGGGACCAGAGCTCCAAGTACCAGCTCCCTCCATTCAACAATGAGGATGCTATTAACAGACCTTAGAGAACTGCTAGCCAGGAAGCAGGGGAGCACCTGGTCTGTGACTGCTGTTGAAAAGCACGTGAAGCTACTAATAATTTACTCCCAATGGGAAAATTGCTTTCCATCCCCATCTATATTAAGTCAACTACTTCAAGACCCTAAATTAATAAACAATTGGTCACTGACAGACTATTCACTTTGTTTTTCAGAGACAGACCTGTGTATTACACAACCTGCACTTGAGAACAATTCAAAAGCAGCAACATCCCTTTTACTCTACCCTCAGAACTGAGATTTAACTATTTCAAAGAAGAACTAACTGGCAAAAAAATTTTGCTTATACAAAATATTTTAGCATTTAGGTAGGATGTTTCTTATTTTTACAGAAAGGGTTAATTAACTTATTATAGCTGGCAACATGGGTCTTAATTTAGTGAATGCATATTTTGTCTATGACTTTCAAAACTTTTCACACTCCTCCACTCTTCCATTTCTTTCTGCCCCCTCTCCAGGTAAATAGATTTATTTTTCTTAAAAAAAAAGAAAAAGAAAAAAGACCACTTTAATAGCTTGATAAAAGAGGCTTAAAATGTGCAAAAACGCATTTTTTAGGCATCTGCTACAAGTCACTGCAGACTTCAAGCAGTTTTGCTAATAGCATTCTTCAACTTTAATAGGCAACTCTTCCCTGTTTTTGTTAACATTCATTTTCTCTTTCCAAGTAAATGGAGAATAAAGCACACAGATTACACAGAAACATCTTGTTAGACCAAAACAGAGTATTACAAGAAAAACAGTATGAATGGTATATAAATCATTATATTTTATACCATAACATTAAAAAGAACACTCCATGCCATAAGTATCCTCTAAAAAGGCCAGATTTACATTACTGTGAGAAGAGCATGCAGTAACTTAAAAAGCCCAGCTCAGTATCAGCTTAGCTAATCAGAACCAGGCATATCTTAAATTTATAGCTGTTCTAACAGGAAATAACCCATCCTACAGTTTTTGGCACTAAAACAGCTGTTCACCATGAAAACCACAAATAGACCACAGAGAAATTCTCCCTAGCCAAAACTGGAGAAGGGAAGAAAGTAGCTGTTACTGCTTTGCTGGGAGAAGGCAGGGAGAAGGGCTGCTGAGAGGGGGCACAAGCTGGTCTGACTCTTTCTACCCATTAAACACATTCAGTAAAATTCACACATTCCACATCTATAATGCCTCAAAAACATCTTAAAACTTTGCTGTACTTCACAGGGGCAAGCTCCACTCTTCCCCCTCATGCAAGCACAGCAAACCCAAACAGACAATTATATTCTGTTACACAGTTTTGATATTTTATGTATTTCCTCCTGTTCAAATTAAACTCCATATGGGAGGATTAAAGTCCAATAAAACTTACTACAATATGGAAGTCTTAAAATGAAATACAAACACAGGAGAAAGAGTAAACCAACTCTGCTTCAAAAGAAAATAAATATACCCACAAGAGAAACATGAGTTTAACACAGTCTTGATTCAGTGGTTAATTTAAAAAAAACCCAACAAACCCTCACCCTCACAGTACTCGATACATGAAAGGAAAATCTTTGCAACAGCATTTTGTTCCTTCTCTCACTGAAGAATTCTAAACATGGTAATAATCACAATAAAACAATTTTAAATATTTGTATTTAAAATTAAGAGTATATTTACTGAAGTGAAAATCAAACTTGTTCACAAGTTTAACCATTTGCTCAGTTTAGCCCCCCCCCCCTTCTTAGGTACAAACTACCGGATAAAACCAGTATCCATAGTTTAGTGTATAGGAAACTAAAAATGCTGAATAAAAAATAATTTTAAAAAAAGTAGATGCAACCACCCAGCATTACTCAGTATATTTAAAGGCTCTAAGTTGGTGGCAAGCTAAGCTAATTAAAAGATTAATCTAATCGGATCTTTCAAAAATGTCCTTTAGGAAATAATGAAATAGTCTAGGTGACTAACTGCATACTGATTGCTAAAGTAGCTAGTGTAGCTGCAGAAGATCCAGTCAAACAATATTTACACATGCATACACATATACAAGAGAGACCGAACACACACAAATGAACTGCATTTTCTATCTACTTGGAACTCTTACCTTGCTCCTCAGAGTATTTAACATTTCCCAAATAGCTGGAGATCCAAGGATTTCTGAACATGGTTGCACAAACAAAGGATTCAGCAAAGAGAAACTACAACAGCAGCTAATTCTCGACCAGCCACAGCCCTAGGCCTGTCTTAGCAATATCGTGTAGAGATTTTTCATAGCACAGGACTGGAGCTGTCAGGCTATCGCATCCCAGGGAGTACAGTAAATGCATAGCAATAGGCTGCAAGCTGGAGCAGCTCAAGCCAGTAATCAGATTACAAACAGAAATTAGGCACATGAATGCTAAAACAGATTGGGCAATAGTGATTGGGAGATTTATAACATTACCACTTCAAAGATCCAGCCAAATCACACATTCTATTCCTGCAAAATGAATGCAGAACTCCTAAATCCTCCTATTTAAAAAAAAATAAATTAAAAAAAAAAATCAATCTACAAAAAGCAACCTCCAAGAAGAGGAATAATGCCTTCATATCTCTGATCAGGATAAACTGCAATGCTTGCTTAAAAAAACAGCATCCAAGTTGCCAAAAAAATGGACTCTGTTAATCATATCATTATGCTAAACATTTTGTCTAGCTCTTAGTTGGAATGTTTAAAACAGACAAGATTTATGGATAACATATGAGCAAAATTACTGGTGGGGGTGGGGATTTAAGAACAGACACCACAGCTTGAAATATTTTAATTTGAGACAGAAGGTGTAAAATTGCACAAAAGTACTGTGTAGCTACCATATTTTTTTATTAAAAAGATTTGATGGATTTTGGATAGAAGAGGTGGGAACCCCGAATAGTTGATTTTGAAAGTCTGGAAGTGTTTGTTCAAAATGGTGCAATAACCCTGGCTCAGACTTCCACACTGAACTACCTGATTGTCTAACACACACACACACACAAAGAAGCATTAAATATGTGACTGAAACACGTCCATGCACTTAACCCCATCCAACTAAAGGCAGTAACTGTCTACTAGCTTCCCTCTGACAGACTTCTTCCCTTCCAAAAACTTCAACTAGTATCAGTAGAAAGCTCCCCACAAGGCTGGGGTTGTCAGGATCATTAAAAGCCTAGGAACACAAGGCTGAAGTTCTTGACTTTTTAAATGTGTTTTTATGATACCTGGTACAACAGGATCCCGACCCATGCTGGGAACCTCTATGTACAGGCAAAATATAAGCAATGATGCTGTGAAAGAGACTGCTTAACCACAAGTGAAAAACATAATCTATCAAAACCCTTTTAGTTTCTGTTGGCTGACAATGAAGTTGTATTTAGCCTGTCTAGGTCACCAAAACAATGCTTTTCATGCTAGCAAGTTCTTGCAATGGATAGAAGAAAACGCCCTCCATCTTGTCTAATGCTCCTGCTATTTGTATTCATTTATTTATTTTAAACCAAAGCACCTTTTATTAGCTGATCTTTCAACAGTCCAGAGCTCCGTGGAACAAGAGTCACTCAACACATGGAACACGGCATTGAAGCCTCTGATTCACCAAGTAATGTCCTCTGTTCAGAAATACTTGATGGTATGTACATTTTTTTCTTTGCCTGTAACCTTACTGGCTCTTGCATTTAATTCTAACAACTCCACAGCACTACCCATAGAACACAAACCAAACACTGCTGTGCTCTCTTGACCAGCAGTGAAGGCCTGCATGTACTCAAGCCCAGTAAATACAAAAGCAGTAACAAAAAATGGAATCTGCCAACACTGGTCCAAACTTGCCATTAACTTCAGTATCAGTTTTATAGCTTAGACATAAGGGCAGGTATGCTTGAAACACAAAAACGAGACAGTGAGGAAGGTGCTGTTAACAGCTAACAGAGACATTCTGGACCAATATCTGTGCACCCATATCAGTGAGAGAGACACCCAGTTGTGAAAAGGTCTCTTCTTTCTGAACCTTGCTTGATCTTGTGAATAGAGGTATTATTACCTGATGCATTTTTAAGCATCCGTAACTCATCTGGTACACAGTAAGGGAACTGTTTTTCATAAAGTGCAGATAAATAACACTCATTTGATAAATCTCATGGC